TCATCTCGCCAATACCTAGTATGTTGATATTTATGCATTTCATTTCTTCCTTAACAATATCTAATTCTGCTACATTCATAGTTCTCACATTCCATGTTTCAGCCACTGGTGTCTGGAACAGTTGTTCCACCTCCTTAGTATTTCCATACTTGAAAGCTCCACCTCTATTGCCCTATCTGCTAGTCCAAGTGTGTTCTATTGTACATAGGGTTTTTGAAGACCTGCTATTTTGAAAGTGGATGTCCAATCGGTGAAGAGATTGAGATTGTGAGTTTTGGTTTACTTGGCTCCACAGTCAACACTCTTGTCACAGCAGCCAGGAAATTAAAAGACGTATTGTGATGAGAAAGTCTGTGGTTAGAGACCTCTCTAAAGTACTGAAGTGCCCTGATACAGGCCATGGTCTTTGCAATCACTTGCTATGCATCAGAGATCTGGACACTAACTAGAGATGATAGAAGAAGAATTGATGCCTTTGAGCTCTGGTGTTGGAGAAGAGTGTCGAATATACTGAAGGACCCCCGAACCGCTGGTCCTGTTCTGTCCCGAGTGGACAGCGAAGACCCAAGACTCCAAGACACCGGCTTGATGCAACAGCAAGAGATAAGAGGTTTATTGCGGAGCTCCGGGCCGACCCTTATCTCTAGCAGGAGACAAAGGAGCCGACCCCGAGCAGACAAAGTTGGGGTTTTTTATACACTTTAGGGGGATACAACTGAGTATCAGCTTCTCATTGGGTGATGAAAGCACAGTTTGAATTCATTGGTTCAGTGTTCGCTCAGGGTTTACACAGCATTTTTGCACGTAGCACTTGCGGCAGTAGCACATGTAGCAGTTAGATAGGGTGGTGTCACAAATTCTTAAGCATACAATGAGTTCAAACTCCAGGGCAGTGGAAAAGCACAAGATACATTGGTTATCAGTCGGGAAACAAAGGCACATGGGTTATCAGTTGAGAAACAATCTTTGCTTGTTTGCTCTGCCTTTCTGCTAGCCATTCTTGAAATACTGTTGCCCTGGATACCTGGGTGTGGGGCTTTACCAGGGACAATGGAAAAATTCCTGAGTTTAACTTAGCTGAGAACTATAGAAACCTGAGTTTAATTCAGCTGAGAACTATAGGGACTATTTTAATTTCAATCTTTTCATTACCAAGGACTGCTAAGAAAACAAACAGGTTTGTCCTGGAGAAGGTGAAACCGGGCTGCTCCTTGGAGGCAAGGATTCTGAAGCTTTGTCTTACATACTTTGGACATGTTGCAAGGAGGGACCTGTCCTTGGAGAGGAACGTCATGCTTGGGAGGGTGGAGGGACAGCACAGGAGAGGAAGACCATAGATGAGATGGATTGATTCAGTGACTGTGGTAATAGGGGTAGGTGTGTCAGAGATGGTGAGATTGGCACAGGATAGGGCAGAGTTTAGGGCTGTTACACATAGGGTCGCTATGAGTCGCAGACAACTCATGGCACATAACAACAAACAAGTGTTAACAGGTCTTCCTTGTATGCATATGGATATTATCCTATCACTCACAACATGGTACTTGATGGAACTTGAAATTGACTTTTTTATTATTAATGCAACACCATTCTTCCTGTTTTTCATACTCTGCATAGTATACCATATCATTATCTGATTCAAAGTGGCCAAAACTGGTTCATTGCATCTCACTAATGCCTAGTAGTCAATATTGATGTGTGCCATTTTATTTTTAACAATTTCCTGTTTTCCAACATTCAACCTTTGTATATTCCATGTTCCAATTTTTAAACAATGTCTGTTATTTATTTTCTTTATTTCAACTGACTTTCAATCTGGGCTCTACACTTACACTACTATAACTAGTCTCTTTGTTTTGTGTTCATAGGATTTTCAAAGGCCTTTTATTTAGGAAGTAGATGGCCCATCCTGCTTAATCAGGAAGGTTGACCAAACTGTCCACGATGGGAAACTGATATGGTATTTGATACACGAGTGACACAGATTTCAGTATCACAGCAACTTCAAGTTATCTTACTAGCAAACTGTCAGACAATTGTTGCACCACATAGAATAACCATTCTCTCCAAACACAATACCAGGCCCAACCGAATTTTAAATACAAAGGTCCGCCCACCAGATCCTGTTTGCCTATGCAAGAGGTTTACCACTCACAGCTGATTGTAAATGAAATCAGAAACAGTTAATGAGCTCCTCACCCATAGCTGATTGTAAATGAAACCAGAAAGAGTTAATCAGCTTACACAAGGCTCATCGAAGTTTAGTAAGTTTCCCAAGGTCACACAGCAGTGAGCAGTGAAGTTAGAACTGGAACTCCATGTTGACTGATCAAAAACTCAGCAGTTTCCAAGTTTTGTTTCAGGACTGTCAGTTTGAAATGAAGGAGTTCTAGTCCTAGCTCTGCACCTAATCACTTCTAAATGTGGCCTTCACAAGTCTCTTCCTCAGAGTGACCTTCAGTTTTCTCCTGTACATTTCCTCATCTGACTTGGCCTAAATGATGTATCACATACCTTCTTCTCAGACATGTCAGAGTTTTGTTCCCATGAAAGTAACTCTCAAGAAGCACTTAGTCTTATGCAATACCCGAGACAAGAGGTCAATCTCAGTGGCCTTGGGAGCTAGAGAAGATTGGATTCACAAAGGACACCCATCAAATGGCCCACCTTGAACTCCTCATGGATCTGCTCCTCCAGAATTTTGGCAGCCTTGCGATCCTCCATCTCCACCTTCCACTTCTCAGCCAGAATCCGAGCTTTCTCATTGGTCAGTGCATCCCAGAACTTCTTAGTGATCTCTGCCTCCTTTTGCCTCCTTCCAAAAGACACCATCAAGTAAGATTTATGAGAACAAGTGAAGCTTAAAACCAATGTACATCCTTATTATGGTCTATATGGATAGCAAATATCTACAGCTAACAAGAGTCGTTTTCAAAAAATATGGAGAAATGAATGATATTTACATGCACAGGAGTAAATCGGAGGAATAAATCAGTAAGTAAGGAAAACAAGATTCAGAAGTCCCACTTCTTGTTCACATTTACAATGGTGTATGTAGAAAATGTTCATCAGAGGATTTTTGTAGTATAAACAACAGTAAAGAACCCAAATGTCAATCAATACTACCAATAAATTGAGTTCTCCCTATAATGGACATTATGCTTGGAAGAATAGAAAGTTAGGAAAAGACAGAAAGACATTCAGTGAGTTCAGTTAGTTGGCTTAACACGGCAGAGATTGTGAGGATGGTATAGGATCAAGTAAGATTTTATTCTGTTTCACATAAGGCCATTGTGAGGAGGAGAGCCAACTTTAAACATGTAATAACAACAATAAATAATACTATCAATATATAACAACAATAAATAATACTATCAATATATAGTAATCAGGAAATATTTTATTCAGGTTATGGTATGAGAAAAGCTGTTTATAAAGCATCTGCCACTTAAATGCTCATCGTGGTTAACTTAGAAGTTTAATTTCTTTGTAGTTTAGAATGGTATTTAAATATTATACAATTAAAACACTCATTAAAAATTGGAAAGGAATCTTGAGTGATTTTCATGGGGATTTTCAAACTGAGTAATAGAAAGCAAAACTTGTTTATGCCTCTAACCTTCACAGTAGGGCTCAGCTATCCATCTTGTCTGCAAAAATGGATAAAATAAAGAGAAGCCAGCAGAACAAAAGTTAATCTATGTTACTATAATATGTTGTAAACATACTGAAAATTTTGGGAGGCTAAAAAATATGCCAAGGTAGTCTCAATTAAACTTCATATAAGAAGGCTATGCTTACACCACAGACTGAAGCCCTAGATTAATTAACTACAAATTATTATTATTATTAACTATTGTTGTTATTAAGTGCCATCTAGTCGAGCACAACTCAGAGCAACCCTATGAGCAAAAGACCTGAACCTTTTGCTATAAACTATAGTTGTTTGTCTATGTTCATCAGTTTCCAGAGGCATGTGGCTTAGGAAGCAGAGTCAAGATTTATGTGTGTGTGTGTGTGTGTGTGTGTGTAATATACATATACACACACATACATATATGCCTATATGCATATACACATATACACATATATACATACATACATATATAGTGGTGGTGGTCGTGGTGGTGGTGTGTTTGTTGTCTATTTGGAAATGACCCATAGCTGACCTTCTGGCAGGATTTCAGAGGCAGTTAATCTCACAGGAGAAGACTGCCCATTCTTCTCCCATGGAGCACCTGATGGATTTGAATCATGTGCCTTCAGGATGACAGTACAGCTTCTTGCTGCTAGCCCACCAGATATCTATATAGATAGATAGATAGAGATAGAGATAGAGATAGATAGAGAGAGAGAGAGAGAGAGAGAGAAAGAGATGTATGTTTGTATAAACATATGTATGTATGTATGCGTGTATGTATGAGTGTGTGTACCTTAATCAGAGTTCAGTATAGCCAGTGAACTGTCTGGTATCTCCTCCCACACAATGACAACTAATTGTCATCAATACACCTTTACTCCAAGGCTCTAAGCTCAGACCTACTTACCACCCTTCTGAGCCTCTCACCATAGTTCCTCAGCCTCCTTCTGTGCCTGCAGCCGTGCCCGTTCTGTGATCAGCTCTTCAGAGATCTCTTCATAGGGCTTGTCACCAGGAGCCTCTCCCATGATCCAGACCCAGACCTCACCATCTGCCCCTAGGAGCCACTGGATGTGTTTGTCACTCACTGTTTCACAACAGAAGAAAGAAGAAACAGATCTGGTTTCTCATTAGTAAGAAATGGCTTAAATTAGCAGATGGTTCACAACCACCACATCCCTCTACAGAACATTCTGACCTAAAACTATATTCCATAGAGATATTGGCCTGAATGCAAAGCTACAATCTTTTTCCCTCTCACTGCTTCTATAGAACATTACAGCAGCCAGGTCAGTCTACTGGAGCAAGTGCTCAAGATTAAGTGTTCTGGAGACTTTTAGTGGATAGTACAGAAGGTAAAAGCAGACAAGAACTATGTGAAGAAAGCTGTGTTATAATGGGTTATTCAATGTAGTTTTTTTTAACCATTGGCTTTGCCTTTCACCACAAGACTGAGAAAGACTCTAATAATATGATTGAAGTAAATAGCACTGCTTGGGTGGAAACATGTAAAAAAAAAGTGTATAGAAAACTAACAACAGAATTATTGTTTTGCCATTATGTCAGTCTTAAATCTGGCAGCAGAAAACAGGAATCTCCCTATTATTAAAAAGATGAGAATATAGTGTATCTTTTTTTAGTCAGAGCTTCCTACACTAGAAGGAGTGCAATGGAGGTGTAGCAGCAACAGTTACAATGGAGGTAACAGAGAACCAGAGACCAATGACAGGTAAAGTTGAACAAGGACTGTTGCCCCACAGAGCCAGAGCCCAGAATATTCAACTAGACTTATTGCTAAAGTGGAGTGGAGTGGAGTGAGAAGGAGGAAGATGCATAATTGGCAGAGCTGAAAAAGCTTTGTGACATTTTCCCAGAGACCAGAAACAGACCCAAAAGGCTGAGGTCAGAAGGAGGTCTACCTGTTAGCAAGAGGAAGAAGAAGCTGTTCCAATTGAAATATTATCCAATCTGAATTTTGCTTTCCAAAAGAACTCTATAATCATGAGAGCTGTCTAAAAGTTCTATGGAGTCACTGCAACTAATTAACAAACATTAATAATAGAGTCACAGAAAAAGGAGACTTCCCTGGGAAAAACTTCCCTGGTGAAAGCTCCCTCCTTTGAGGGATCCTTGCCTCTGTGGCTACATGGCCATCTCAGGTGCCAAATAGGGCAAGAGAGTTTGGAAAAGAGAGCTACAAGGAGGGGAAAGGCTTACTCAATTTTCTATGAGACAGAGAGCTGACCTGAGACCCCCATGTACACAAACTCAGGTTATCCCAGAGAGAAAGGAAGACATTAGGCTTCAGGAAAGAAAGAACCATTAGGTGAAACACTCTTCCTTGTAGCCAGCATATTCAGGTTAATGTGGGGTAGGAGCAGACTGAAACTTCCTTGGGTAATTGTCCCCTCATTTGGAGATCCTTGCCTCTGCAGTTGAGGGGCCAACCCAGGTGTCAAATAGGACAAGAGAGTTTGGGACAAAGAGCTGTAAGTAGGGGAAAAGCTTTCTCATCTTTCTCAGATAGCACGATGAACTGTGAGAAAGAGAGCTGACTTGAAACACCCTACACACAAACTTCTTGAGTTGAACACCTGGTCTTGCACCACTAAACCACCAGATGAAGGAGGACAGCAGAGTTCAGGAAAAGGAATTACAATAAGGCAAGATTCCTGTAGGAATGCATTACAGACTAGAGAGAACCTGAGAGCTTTAGGAAATGCAAATTTTCCCAGAAAGGATTTTCAGTAGAGTCAGTGGCTTAACCCATCGACTGAACATTTTAAGCTGGAAAGTAATCAATAACATTGTGAAGATAAGAACTACCAACAACTTACGCAGATGAAATAAAAATGGTCTAACAATCATCAAGAAAAAATTCACATCATGTCAAGAAAACAGTAGGCAGCTCCAAGCACTGAAAATACAAGTTACACTTTCTCCAAGAAAACAGAGAATATAGCAGACTCAATAAATACACCAGAGTCAAGAAGGATGAAGATATACGTTGATATGGAGACATTCTAACAGTTTAGGAAGAAAGTTATTAAACGGAAGAAACAATGAAAACCACAAATAAAGACTATACACTATTTGGAAGGCTCTTTATGCACAATCTAAAGAGGATAAAATTGATGCATGGGACCTTCTAAAGACTAAATCTCTGTGCACATCAAAAACTTTTTCCAACAGGGTGAAAAGAAAACCTAAAGACTGGAACAAACATTTGGTAATACTATCTCGGACAAGAGTCTTATACCAAAAGTTTACAGAATACTCCTGGGCCTCCACAAGAAAAAGACTGATAACCCAATTACAAAATGGGCAAAAGTCATGGAACGAATTTTCACAGAGGACAATATTCAAGTGGCAAACAGACACATGAAGAAATGCTCCAAATCACTGGCAATAAGAGAGATGCAAATCAAAACCACAATGAGATACCATCTCACTCCAGTAAGAGTGGCAAAGATTATCAGGGCAGCAAGTAATAGATGTTGGAAAGGATGTGGCGAGAAAGGAACTCTTACACATTGTTGATGGGATTGTAAAATGGTGCAACCACTCTGAAAGGCAGTTTGGCACTTCCTCAAAAAGCTGAACATAGAAGAAATTCCTTATGACCCAGCTATTCCACTACTTGCAATATACCCTGAGAATATTAGAACTGAGGCACAAACTTAGATTTGTACACCAATGGTCATAGCAGCATTATTCACCATCATAAGAACATGGAAACAGCCCAAATGTCCAACCACAAATGAATGGATTGAGAAATTATGGTACATTCACACAATGGAAGCACGCAGGAGCAATAACTGTAAATTTGTTTACCTAACTTGGGAGGGACTGGAGAGCACTATGCTGAGTGAACTAACTCAGTCCCATAAGGATAAATATTGTATAATACCTTTATTGTAGAATGAGTATAAGGATCCAGTACCGGCGATCCAGCCCCGATACATCGGGAGAATTCCACCAAAGGAGAGACCAGGTTGAAATGAGGACTCAGACTACTCATTGATGGTGAATAGCGACCTTTAATCTCCAGGGCAAAGGTTTATATATGTCCTAGGAACATGCTTGCAGGGGTAATCGCATTATCTCTTATCTTTCCGAGATGTTGACTGGTAGATCAAACATTCCCAGACATTCACACAAAACAAGGACATCTTTCAGGGATATCCTAAAAATGGGACTGATACTGGGATAGGGAGGAGACTGAGAAAGATAGGATATACTGCACTGAAACAGATGAGGGAGAGAACTATTTACAAGGAATATGTGATTAAGTATTATTGTCATGACAGGAGTCTAGAACTAAGGCTGCATAGTGGAGTGGACTTGGAGAAGGGGTTGTATCACAATAAAAGAATTTTTCTTTTACTTTTCGAAGAGAAGAGTGAATGGGAGGGAGGGGTGGGCAGGGAGAAAAGTGTAACCATGAATGAATAGAAAACCAAAGTCTCTGTAAATTTTCATTAAAATTAATAATAATTTTAATAATTAAAATTAATAATTAATAATAATAATTAAAAAAGATAAGGAGGGGCACAATATAATGATTAAAGGCACAGTAGATTAAGAAGACATAACCTTGGTAAAACTCTACAAACCACATGACAGATCTGTAAAATACATAAAATAACTGTTAACAGAATTGAAGAATGAAATAGACAGCACCACTAGAGTGGTAAGATACTATAATTCACCATTCTCACCAAAGGATAGGTCTATTCAAAAGAAAGTTAACAAAGATGAAAGAGATCTAAATTATACATTAAGCAAACTTGACCTTGTGGATGGACCTTGTACAGCACCTACAAAAAACTTACTTCTCAACTGTACATAATACATTCTCCAAAAATGATCACATATGAGGCCACAAAGTAAGCCTCAAAAATTAAAGAACACTGAAATAATACAAAGTATTTTCTCATACCCAAATGCCATAAAACTTTAAATGAACCACAAGAGGATTAACCTTGTAAAACCACCCGTGTGGAAGCTAAATAATACCCTGCTAAAACAAAATTGAGCTACAAAAGAATAAAAAAAATTAAAAAATTCCTCAAAACAAATCATAATGTCTACAACCAGGAAAAGATAAAATAGATTAATGGGACCTTCAAGAATAAATCCCTATACACATCCAAAAACTTCTCAAACAGGGTAAAAAGGGAAACCACAGACTGGGAAAAAGTATTTGGTAATGACATGTCAAATAAGGGACTTATATCCAGAATTTATAAAATACTTGAGCACCACAACAAGATAAAGGTAAACAATACAACTGAAAAATGGGCACAAGATATGGACTCTTCACCAAAGAAGACATTCAGATGGCCAACAAACACATGAAGAAATGTTCAAAATCCCTAGCTTTATGAGAGATGCAAATCAAAACAACTATGAGATATCATCTCATCCCAGTAAAATTAGCAAAATTTAACAGAACAGCAAGCAACAAATGCTGGTGAGGTTGTGGAAAAACTAGAACCCTTATTCACTGCTGGTGGACACTTAGGTTGTTTTACTGTTGTAAAACAGGACTGACATTAGGGTTGGGGGAAGACTGAGAAAGTGAGGATAAATAATGTATACTGCATTGAAACAGATAAGGGAGAAAACTGTTTAAAAGGGAAATGCAATTAGGTATTATTGCCATGACAGGAGTCCAGAACTAAGGCTGCATATTGGGGTAGACCTGGGGGAAGGGATCATAAAACAATGAAAGAATTTTACTTTTCAAAGAGAAGAGTATACAGTGGGGGAAGGGGTGGACAGGGAAAAAAGTGCAACAATGAATGAATGAAAATCCAAAAATCTCTGTAAATTTTCATTAAAATTAAAAATAATAATAAAGAATATTAAAAAACCAAATTATAAAGAAAATACAAAACAAAACTTCTAGAATGCAGCTAAGGCAGTCCTCACAGGGCAGTTAATATATGCAAACACATAAAAAAACGAAGAAGCAAAATTAATGATCTAACTCAACACCCATATCAAATAGAAAAAGAACAAAAATCTAGCACAACAGTCTCTAGAACAAAGGAAATTATATAAACAAGAACTGAAATCAAT